GGCGGAGGTGGAGCGTGACGGTGCGCGAGCGGCGCGTGTTTGGGCGCCTGCGCGGAGCGCGTAACCCGGAAGTGCTCCGGCGGGCGCCTTGTCTGCGGTGGCGGTGGGCCCCTGCGTGCTGCAGCCCCTCGGCCGTTTGCCCGCGCCTCCCCGCACCCGCCATGTCCCGAGGCTCCAGCGCCGGCTTCGACCGCCACATTACCATCTTCTCGCCCGAGGGCCGCCTCTACCAAGTCGGTGGGTGTCCGGCCCCGGGGATGCTGCCGCTGAAGTGCCCCGTCACGGGCCCGGCCTGCCCACGCCGCCGCCGCTTCCCGCCGAGCCTGCCTGCCTTTGGGGAGGGGGGGAAATGTGGCGCCTTTCGTGGCAGGGGAATCACGGTTCCCGCCCTGCCTGGTCCCGCGGTGTGCGGGAAGAAGCCTGGTGGGAGTCTGGAGCAGCTGCGGTCCCAACCGTGCCGGCGTGGGGGCCCGGGAAAGGGATTCGCGCATGAGAGAAGAAAAACTTAGATCCAGGGTAGGCCCCCTCGAGTGTTCCCTGCCATGGGGAGGGACCTCCTGTGACTTCCCGGTGTTTGATTTCAGATGCTTGGAGATCACACTGACAGCTATTCAGTTTATTCCTTCTAAAGTATTTCTCGGAGTTTTTCTTGCCAAACATGAGATTGTGGTTTTGAATCTCAGAACTACAATAGCTGTTTGAAACGGGACTTGAACTGTCTCAAACTCTGCATGCCAGAGTAACAAAGTCAGTTTTCTGAGGTAGCCCGCACTCTCTTTACACCTGAATGCGATGTGTTCAGTACATCATGGCCTGTGAGATGGCAGCAACCATCTTTTAATTGCAGGCTTCTTTGAACATTCCGTGAGTGAGCTGTGGTCTAGCTTCACTATCTTCTGTAGGCCACTGAATTTTATTCATATTTTTACAGTGCACCAGATTCTGCAGAAGAGTGTCACAGTGCTGCTTCTGCAGAATACTCAGTAACAGCATAGTCAACTTGCAGTCTGATGGGACAGATCAGCAAGAGTGCTCCTGGAGGGTTCTTACAATGGGTCGGATTAGTTGTTTTGGCAGCATCATCTTGATGCCATCTTCACATGGAGCTTAGTGGCTCTTTCCCAGCTGCAGTGGCTTAACTGCATGTGCATTGCACAGCATATCCGTACATCCATCTGTCCTCCAGCACAGGAGGTTGCTGGGACCAGACTGTTTGAGTTGTCTGTGGTAGCCAATAGTTTCTTTTGTGACTGTCCTTGAGATTTTTTTCAGGAAGAAGGCTATTTGGAATAGACTTTGTGGGCAGGTGACCCAGTCTCGAGCAGTCTGTTCTTCAAGGAGCAGCTAGGAAAGTGCCTGTGTGTGGGGTCTGTACGCAAGTAGAAAGTTACCTGTACCAGATACTTACATACCTGGAGTGTGTATAAGACTTGTTCGAAACTTACTTAGTGAGCCTTATGCAAATGGATGGTAGGGACAGCACTTCCTCACACAGGATGTCAGTGGCAATGTGATGGAAGACTCATGGGCTCTGATCTTCTGTTGACTTTAAAACAGGCTGGTTGGTCTGCATTACCTTTCTAGCTGTTTCTCTGTTGCTATACTACTTGTTGGGAATGGTTTCTGCATCCTGTAGTAAAGAGAAAATCGAGCCTTGGTTTTCTACCTCCTGGGTATATTCAGCCATTAGGTTAATATATGAAAAATGTGCAGTACCTCCATATCTTTTACTGGTGTCTTAGAAGCAAGTATCAGCATGTGTATTTGAGAGCCTCTGCACACAGCCTGAAGCTGTCTGAAAGATATTTTAAGTACCTGTATGCTATGAGAAGAAAAATACGTAGGTGTGCATTGTTAACTTCAAGCAAGTATGAGCTCACTCTTACCTGTAGCCAGGCTGATAACTCAGGCATGATGCCACACTAGTGTCTCTGTTGGCCAGCATCTAGCTATAGCATGGGCAGAAAGCTCATGTTTGCTTGCTCATATCCAAATTTAGCTTCTTTGTCTTTCATTCTCTTGAATCCTGTACATCTTTGTCCCTTTGTTGTATTCAGATTAACTAGGTGTTGTTGCTTCAAGGTTGCCTTAAAATGAGGGGTTTCTGGAATTTGGCAGTACCTGAGCAGAGATTTCCAGTGTAGCAATATTGGACTGAAATGCCAGTACTTTGCTTCAGATCTTTCTTCTTCTTCCAAAGCTCAGAAAGCTCATGTGCCTTTGAAGTGATCTCATATTAGAAAAGCAACAGTTATTTAATATGTATTTCTCATTGCTGTGGTTAAAAAACCCTCAGAGCATCAGTGTTGTCTTGCCACCTGTTAGTTTATCTTGAAAGATGATGTTTCTCCTAAGTGGAATTTTGGGAGATGAAGAAAATTATTATGGCCAAATTTCTGACTGTTGTGATGTATTCAGGGGGCTGCTGTTTTCAGAAAGAACATATGCAGTACTACTGAAATACTTACATAGCAGAATACAGATGTAAAACACCACTAGCAGTTTGGATTTGTTATACTGTAAGAGCCACTTCACTTTTTGGCTTGTCTCTTTGAAAACTAAGCAGTGCAGATGGTAATAGGAACAGCATGAGGAGGGACTGCAGTTCAGCAAGCCTGGTTGACAGTACTTGTGAGTAGAACCGGTTTGAGGGCACCTATTCCTGATCCCACCTAAGTGTCAGACAACCACAGAAGGGTTGAGGTTGGCAGGGACCTCTGAAGGTCCATCCCCCTGCTCAAGCAGGGTCACCTACAGCCAGTTGCCCAGGACCACATCCAGACAGCTCTTGAATGTCTCCAATGAGGGAGCCTTTACAACCTCTCTGGAGTCACCCTCACAGTAAAAAAGTGTTTCCTGATGTTCAGACAGACCCAACTGGGTTTCAGTTTGTGCCCACTGCTTCTGGTCCTGTCACTGGGCACCACTGAAAAGAGCCAGGCTCTGTCCCCTTTGCACCCTCCCTTCAAATATTTGTACACATTTGTGTTGCAGAGCTCTGGCCTGGGGCTTCAAATGTAACTAGTTTGCTGGTGGTGCTAACTCATGTCTCACTGGGTTCTGTGCTTTGCTGCAGGCTAGCACTGACCATCCAGGGGAAGGCAAGTGAAGAGGTGAGCAGAGTTGTACATCTAGTGGAGAGAAAGGGGGAACTTTCTTTATGGCATGTTTGGGTAACCAATAAATGCTCTGATACCTGAGAGTAACAAATGCAGTTTCATAAATACATGGCGATCAGCCCTTCCCTAACACTGACTCAGCAGATTGAACGTCAAGATCCTGGTATTGCAAGATTTGTTTTTTTCATTTCAGAGTATTCCTCTCCTGTTGTGCAGTCTTCCATAGATCTGAATGCAGCTTTTGAAACAGCTGAGTTTCTTGCTGCCCTTATTTTAGAAGGTAGTTTTAGCAATTTGCTGTGCTGTTAGTTAGACCTGTCCTAAATTCCAGTTTAATTCACACAGCTAACAAATTCATCTACATTTAGCTACTGCCTGAAACTTGCCTCTCCTAACCAGATATTAGGACGCTCTGAATGTTTATCTATATTGCCAGATAACAACAACTTTAAAAATTGTTTCCTGAGGCTTTTGAAACCATCAATCAAGGGATAGTTATTTCATGGATCATATCATGTAAATCTTAATCCATTGTATTTATCTGAATAACGCTGCTTAGTTGGCATGTGCATAGGTTTCCTTTTAAAAAGTGAACAAAATTATTGCAGTATTTGAATGTAAAGTCAGAAAATGTGATAGTAAGGTTAAAACCAGTCTTCTGTGCCTGGTCCATCATTACAGTTTTAATCTGTATCAGTTAAAATCTGCAAAAGAAAATTGCATCCTTGCAATGGTAATAATGCTTGAAATACTTATCTGCTGCATGTTACAAAATCTTCTGTAAGGATTTACAGTTACTGTAGGTGAAGGTTGGACCATTTTGGTCAAGTGGAAACAGCCTTTTTTTTAAAAAAACAAATTCTGTTGCTGCTAAGCATTCTAACTAAACAAAAAGGCAAATTATTAGAAGTATTTGAAGGAAGCAGTGATAGTAGTTTAGTGAAGAGAGTCAATGACTCTAATTCCCATCAGCAAGTTCTTGTGTGCATTGTACTAAAGACCTTAGACACAAAGTGTTGCTCAAGTATTAAGGTATTATAAAGGTCAGAACTTGGTGAGGATTCTCTGTTGGGGGAGAGGTGTGTCAGAGTTAATTGTTCTAATATCTCTAACACTTTTTTTTTATTATAATAACACTTTTTTATTATAATTTCCATATTTTTTCTAGAATATGCTTTTAAGGCCATAAACCAAGGCGGACTTACATCTGTAGCTGTTCGTGGGAAAGACTCTGCAGTAATTGTAACACAGAAGAAAGTACCTGTAAGTCTGTTTTTGAGGGGGTGGACCAGAAGTAGATGAGAAAAAGGTGGGACTGAGCCTCTGCCACATTGATACTATATTTATTAGAATTTACATATATTTCTGTGTGAACTGAATGTTTTATTATCATTCTACTTCTTACAAGTTCTAGCTCTGTTTAGTGCTCAGTGGCACACTTCCTCACCAAGTACTGTAATATTGGTTTTCTCAGAAGTTATTGAAGGGATAAAGCTAAAATATGAAGTTGGTGCTGCTGTACTTTAGCATACATACATTACTCTGGCTTCTAAGTGCCGAGTTGTCTGTAATCAGTTTCCAGACTTCTTCAATTTCTACTCAGAAAATGTTATACCAATAGTATGCAGAACAGATTTTCATCAGTGTTTTGGCACAGTGGTGATGTATTGTTGACAAAGGGGGAAGCCCCTTGTGTTGGAAGGGCAGCATACAATAAGAGTGCAAGTTTGTGTATGTGTGTTCTAAAAGTTTCTTCAGGGGGGAAAGGACTTTGATGTTGGTCATGCTCTAGCTGTCATCATTTTGCAGATACTGCCGTTTTTACTTTCCCTATTCCTATTTCTTCTTTTGCATGCCTATCACAGTAAATAGTGGAGAGAAAGTGGAAAGACAATTGTTAGCTGATACTTTGGAGCTCTTCTGTAGGTACCAGAGCATCCAGAGTCTGTCTTTTTTTTGTACTTGAAGCACAGTGTTTTCTGTTAGATTGTTTCTATTTCCTCTTTAGGACAAGTTACTGGATTCCAACACAGTGACTCATTTATTCAGAATTACTGAAAATATTGGCTGTGTGATGACAGGAATGACAGGTATTTAATTCACTATCTTTAAGTATCTGAAGTGTGACAGATTTTTTTATGTAGTTTGCCAACTTTGCATCACATAAGTAAGTGCACTAGGAGATTTGTTCCACTCAAGTCTGGTTTTGGAGAACTTGTCTAGTTCTGATGTCTGTAATTTAAAGGCAAATTAAAGTTGGGCTTGGAATATGCATTCTCAAGCAATGCTAGGAATAAACACGGTACATGTTCAGTTCAAGTTATTTTCTCTCTGTCTAGCTGACAGCAAATCCCAGGTGCAGAGAGCCCGCTATGAGGCTGCTAACTGGAAGTACAAGTATGGCTATGACATCCCTGTGGATATGCTGTGTAAAAGGATTGCAGATATTTCTCAGGTCTATACACAGAATGCTGAAATGAGACCTCTTGGTTGCTGTAAGTATAGTGTATGAAATTAATCTTTTTCTTGTTGCTTGCAACTTCAAGTGTAAGAAATTCTCACCCATTTTCAAATTGTGCGAGATAACGGATGTAACTGAAGGAGTGAGGAGGGATGAACAGCCAAATGAGAGAGCAGTGCGGAAGTCTTGAATTGGAGACACCATTTTTCCACTGACTCAGCAGTTGAATTGGAGTAAATGATGTAGCCTCTTTAAAATGTACGATTTCACTTAAGGTTTTGGGTCCTAGTCTGTTTGTACCACACAGTGGTGTCTGTGAATGGGAGATGTTCTTTTTACCAGTATCTTGGTAAATATCACTGTTAAAACAGACATATGGAGAGTGCAGTTATGCTTGTGCAGGTTTTGTGGCTTTTTTATCTAAGTAGTATGTATAGGACAAAAATCTGCATAATTTTTGCTCTTAACTGTGAGATAGATATATATATATAGATATATATAGATATATATAGATATATATAGATATATATAGATATATATAGATATATATAGATATATATAGATATATATAGATATATATAGATATATATAGATATATATATAAAAAAATATTGAGAAGTGCTTCAAAATATTTCACTTACAAACATTTCTACACGTCTTGTTTTATAACAGCAAATGCAGCTTAAATAAAAGATGTGTGTAAAGTTGGTTTTTGTAGATATTCCTGGTTTTCTGTGTTCTGAGGTTGGTTCTGACTTGTTTTTTCTCTTGTGTTTGGCTGTAAGTAAATTATAACTGTACTGTTAGGCTGCCTGGGAACTGAGATAAAAACCAATGTTTTCTCAATTACTTTTTCATTAAGCATTCTGTCTGGGGTTCTTTTTGTTTGCTTGTTGTTTAGTTTGGTGTTGTGTTTTTTTCTTTTAAGAAGAATAGTTTCAGAATTGGTGAATCACTTCTCGTAATCATAGTAGGCACTAGCACTTCTCACTAAAGAAGTAACATTCAGGGTTGCACCACAGTTTCCATAACGGGGCAATTTCCCTGTGCTTGTAATGTTCAGGAATGATTGTTTCTTTCTTCCCTTGGCATTTCTCATGCCTTGATGCTACTGGAAAGTGAGGAGTTTTTAAATACATGAATACAAATGTATTTTTCTTAACTTGCCTTAACCTTTGTTGAAAAGGTGATAGGAATTTTTTTTTCCTGTTGTAGCAATAGCTGCTCAGAAGCTTATCAGCTGTAACTACTAGTTAAAAGTTACACAAGTGTAAAGGAAAAATAATTTAAAACCTGACCTGTTTTAGTGGTTTTGGTGTTTTGCAAGTATTGTTTTCAAGTTATTTTTAATATGCATAATGAGACTATATGACTGTAAATCTGGAAGTGTGGGTGAACACAGATGCATTTCAGTGATGTGACCGGTTTGTGTTACGTGAAGTCTATCCAACTTGAAAGCATTTAATCAAGTGGTTCTGATATTTCCACGTTTCATTTCAGATTTTTTTTTTCCTTTTAAGAGATGTAATGTGGTGCTTTTCAGGATTACAGCTGAGAATCTAAAGTTGATCTAATATTTCCATTAGTTTCAACATATTTGTAAGGTTGCTTTCTGGCAAAAGGCATGTGTTAATAGAACTATTGTTTTAAAGTGTCATATAATATACAATATGTGAACTGTGGCTGGGTTAACTTTATATTGGGATTAAACTTTTTTATTTCCTGATTTTGTGGTTCTCTGCACTCTAAGCATGGCAAAAATATTTCTGTGTTTAATGAATAGCCTTCTTTGGGAATGACCAAAATCTAGTTTGCCATAAACTGCCTTGCACACCTGGTAATGAGATGCTGGTGAGAAATGGCAAACTACAGAGAAAGAGGAAATCACAGCTCTAGGTATTGGATTGGTTCCCAAAAATGTACTGCTGTGCATGCATGTTTTTCACGGGAGAGGGGTATCTGTTCTTCAGTTGAATGAAATTGCTAAAGTTGGGGAAAGAAAGAAAGAAATTAATAAATTTTCTCTTCAAGGTATGATTTTGATTGGTATTGATGAAGAACATGGCCCTCAGGTATACAAGTGCGATCCGGCAGGTTACTATTGTGGATTCAAGGCCACAGCTGCAGGAGTTAAACAGACAGAGTCAACCAGTTTTCTTGAAAAGAAAGTAAAGAAGAAATTCGATTGGACATACGAACAAACAGTAGAGGTAGGCCAGCAGAAGGAAAAATACTTGTTAAAGTATTTTTAATGAATGTACTGTATGTAGGCTTGCGATGTAGAGGAACAGGATTAAGTATTTCCTGTTTTCTTACAGTTCTGTATTGCTGCCAGAGCAAGTATAGTTATTCCAGCCAGAAAAATCTTTTGAAAGTATTTTGCAAATGCTTAAATAGTCATCTGATCTGCTTTTTCTCCTTTACATTAACTGAAGCAGAATCTGTAATTGTAGCACTCCCACTGTAGCTGGTGGTTGATTACTACAGTTGATTCTGGGGGTACCAGTACTATTTTCTTTTAGTGGCACTTAAAACAATCCTCATGATAGAAGGCATTTCAAACAGGACAGGGTGGTGCTTGTCTGTCAGTTTAGTAAATATAACACCAGTTGTTATGCCTGTTGTGAAACTGTTGTTCCAGGCCCATTATAAAAATGTATCCTACTTATATAGTATGTGAGTAAAATGTTTCTATGACTAAAATAGGTCAATGAACTTATTTTATAAATCATCCTTACTTTTTCACTTACACAGTATAGAGATCTGTTTAAACAGTCCTCTTCCATGGCCCTTCTCCTCCCAGGACTTGTTCTTCTCTAATAATGTTAACATTTCCTGCATCACAAGATCAGCAGTTGAAATGAGGAGTAATAACCTAAGCAACTGACTCCCCTGTAAGATTAACATAGTGTTAAGATCCCTGTGTGTGCTATGCAGATTAAGACCTTTAACTAAATTACTGCTGAAGTTCACATTACTATGAAAAGTACTATTTAAACAAAGTTCTTAGCGTAAACTGTTAAGTTCTATATGTATACCTTAATAAATGCTGATTTCCTTAATATGCAGTTTCTTTAAAGAGATGATCCTGAGAGGGTTAAATAAACATAAGCGTATTGAAATTGAATGTTTTTGAAATTACCTCCCAGATCCTTTTTTATCCTGGCTAAATATTTTTCTGCTTGATTATACTGTGCATGTCTATTACTTGAGCAGTTGGAGGTAGACGAAACAGTCTTCATATTCTTGTTTTTCATTCATAAAACTTCTATGGTATGGCACAAATACTTAATTGGTAATTAATCTGCCAGTCAAATCCTGGATGTGCTTGTTGTCTTTGTAAAAATGCTGAGATTGAGAATGTAGATCAGATATTCTAAAAGTCAACAGTGATGGGGAGAAGCAAGTCTGTCAAGCAAAACCAAGAATCACGTTTTTGTAATGTTCTTTGCACAGACACACACACTGCCTTTTTTTTTTTTTTAAGTTTGCAGTGCATTAGAGGTAATGCTCCAAGGATAAGAATTTTGTGGTTTGGGGTTTTGGTTTTTTTTTTCAACTTGTTAGTCTTTTGATAAGACACCTATATAGTTTTATGGGATTGTTGCAGAATTAATGTATTATCAACATTTTGAAAATAAACTTTAGAAAAAGCCTTGTCTGGTGTTCTACACTTCCTAACACATTACTGATCAGAATTACATGCCAGCATGTCAGAATAGCTGATTTGATAAGCATTTAACTACATAGCTGTTGTATGGAACTTCTTTTTATGCTCAGTCATCATTTTAGGAATACATCTTTAGCATTATGGTGACCATACTGCAGGGTTAAGTATGAATGAGATTGGAAAGAACACCTTTTAAAACAGGTGATGATCAGAGTGGAAAAAAAAATAAAGCCGTGATGAAATGCAGCTTTTACAAACAGCTGACATAATTTTAATTACCAGAAGAAAAGCCAAAATGGAAGCAAGTGACATGTGCTTTGAGTAATGTTGGACTGTAACGATGTTTGTCTTGTTTGCCACTAATGAAACATCTTCTGTCCTTGGGACCTGGAGTTTTAATCTTTGCATGATAAAAGGTTTTGGTTTTGTTGTAGCTTTTATTTTTGCTATGAAAATGACATGTCCCTTGTTTTTTTTGTAGATTGGGCTTTTTAGGGAGAACACCTGAGAGGAACTGTACTCTGTAACAAGAGAAAACTATTTAAAACTTTTCAGCTGAGGTTTTAAGGCGGAAGGAAATAACTTAAAACTAGAAGGAAGAGTAGTCTTTAATGCTATGTCTATTTAAAAAAAAAAAAAGCCTTAGTGCTTTTTGTTTAATGATAGTTTTTTTCCTTTTTTATTGCTTTCAGACAGCAATAACATGCCTGTCTACTGTACTATCCATTGATTTCAAACCTTCAGAAATAGAAGTTGGTGTAGTTACAGTGGAAAATCCTAAATTCAGGTAAGTGGTGTTGATAAAACTTGGTGTGTTTTTCTGGTTATGTGCAATTAGTTTTCACTTTTTCTATAATGTTAAATCGAGAAAAATACATACATGTCAGAAGCTGAACTTTTGGAGTTGTTGTCTTCTTACTTGTAACTATTTAAAATATGTAGGAGTAAAAGACATTGTTTAAATAAATAACAGTTTTAGAAGATTTGACTTGGTAAGGGATCCAGTAGAGAGAACTGTTGTCTTTTGTTTCTTAAAAGGGTACTGCTTTATGTGATTATTAAAATGTAGTTACATCTGGTCTAGATGATTTTTCATGCTTAGAAGAATAACATTTTTTTTCTACTAGTATCTGGAGTCCATTTCCAAATCATAGTTATGACAACTAATGCAGTACAGTCTGTTTTATATTAAGGAAAATTCTGCAAGTCCCTTAGTTTGATTTAATTCTTTTCTAAATGGGATCTTTAAATGACTGTTGCTCATCTTGTAATTGTAGCATTTTTTTAAACTCTCTGGTATATAGATAATAGATTATGAATTTGTATGATTTAAAATATTCTATTTAAATTTTACAAGAATAAAAGATCCTGGATTTTAAAATCACTGCAGTGATTTGGAATTGGCTGAACTTTTACTTTCTGAGTACATTGCATTCCTGCCTAGCATGAAAGCAAGATGCTGCAATTTCCTCCCTCCCCCATTATTGCCTGACTGCAAGTGCAGCTGCACTGTGTGCAGCTAGGTTACTTGGTCACTCTATCGAGAGAGCACCTGGAAATCTTCCTGCTGAGGGCTATACCTCCCATCAGATACAGTGTACTTGACAGCCTCCTCACAACACAGTATATAGCTGCAGAAGTATGCATGGAATGTGGGAAAATAAGTTTTGGGGCTTTTTTGTTAATGCAAAAGGACTCTTTAGGTGTGTTTTACCTAAAATTGAGGTAAGTCTGGGTTGCTGCTGAGGAGTTCAGTTATTTCTGACTTAGTCTTTCATTGCTTTTTTTTTTTAATTAAAAAAAAGCAAAACCAAAAAAAAACCCAGCTAAGTAGGGAAGAAAAGTCCTCTGCTGCTTTAGTCTAGCTACTTGGTAGGTAGGGATTGGAGAGAGGCTTCAAACCTTTGGGTCCTCTAGGTACAGTCTCTTGAGTGCTTTCTGATGTGTTTAAAGTTGACATGGTGATGGTGGGTGGTTTTGCATTTAGTGGCATGTGTTTAGGATAACAGAAAGACATAGCATTTTTAGAAAGCACACGGGACCTGCATTACCCCTTTTTACTGCTGCTTAAGGATCAAGTGCTAGCTTTCTGCCAAACTTCATTTACCAATCTTACACCCTTTTCAGAAAGGATGGATAACAAGGAAAGGGAGAAGGCTATGAAAACCTGTGTCCCCCTCGGAGTAATCATAATAATTACCGTACCCATTCTGCTCACCAGGTCCCAGCTTGCAAATACATTACTCATGAGGAATTACCTGTTCTTTTTCTACCATTTGTTACTACTTTGCTCTCTAGTGCCTTTGATTCTTCCTTTGTTTTTCAAAAAGAATTGGAATGTCAGCCTGTGGCCCAGGCAGCAGCACTTTAAAGGGCTGAAAGATGCATTGTATAAAACTTACTTGTGTAGATATTAGGTTATAATATTGGAGCTTAAGGGGAAGAATCATTTAAGCTATTTAAGATTTCTTTTTGTTCTTTCAGGATCCTTACAGAAGCAGAGATTGATGTGCACCTTGTAGCTCTGGCAGAGAGAGACTAATTAGCATTCCTGTTTCCATTGTCTGTGCTTCTGCCCAGGATATTTGGTGAAAAGAAAACACTTTAATGGCTTTCAATTATGGATGGAAAACAATGTTCACTATATGATGTATTTTACTCTGTACAAATAAAACAGAGGTTTTTGAAATATTTGGTGTCTCCCTTTAATGTAATTTTTTTAACTCTCAGCTCTATAAAGTTTTCATCAAAATGCTTGATGACTTTGTTTCTGTCATGATTGCTTGCATTTTAGTTGTATTTTAAGAGAAATTTTATACTCTGCATTGTATTTTTCATCTAAGCTAGTTGGCTTCTAGTGTAGAGTTTTATATCAGATTGTGGTATGTGTGGCTTGAGATAACTTGTACATTTACATGCATTCTCTTGCCCTGATGTTGAAGGGCTTATAACATTACTGGCTTAACTGTACTGTTACTGTGGAGAAGTTAAGAAGAAAATAAGATCTTAATATTTGCTCAGATTTGTATGAGGATATAGGACAAAAGTTGAAGCAAAAAACTTGAGCTGCCATTCCCAGTGCATTCCTTTAGACTGATTTATTTGGGGCGCAGGTATTGAATTTAACAGACTTCTATGATTAAACTGCGTTGAAGCTAACATTTATTTAGGGGGACAGATTATATATGCAGTGTACTTTGGGATTTGGCTGTCACCTACCTGGTTTTAAGGCTTTGGGCAGTGCCAGAAACAATGTTGGGGCTGGATAGGGCCCCACAGAAAAAGTCCATTAATAAGAGTGTCTCTAGGAAGCAATTTCCCTTGTTCCTTCAAAGGTTCTGAGTTAGGAGAAAGGAGAAGACTGCAAAAACTTGAGTCAAGGTGAAGGAAAATGCATTCTTGTTTTGCTGCAGTTGAAGGGGTTTCGGCCTCCGCAGCCAAAAGGGAGATGATATGAGGGAGGAGACACTGAGGAGAAAGGGAAGATTACTAGGCATTTTAGCTGTGGGGTAGACATGAGAACTGTCTTGGAAGAATGCCAAGCTGATACAACTTAGCTCCTTACCTTCATTCCTCTGTTGTGCTATTCCTATATTGGCTTTAATTACTCTAAAATTATCTTTGATTTTGTTTTTTTAAACCTTTGGGGAAGGCCTCAAGTCATCAGAAACTGGGGTTGCTTAATTTTTATTTTTTTTTTTTGCTTTGCAGTTAAAGCCCCTTCAATGTGCATTTTTCAAGTTCATTGTAGTAAAAGAGATGCAATTCTGTGTTTGATGGTTTTAATAAAAAATAATGCTAACCTTATGTGATAACTGAGTTGGGGAGATTCAAATGTACTGTGCGTTGTTGACTTTAAAAGGCTTCCTGAATTTCCATTTGTGCCTGCAAATTTCAGCTTCCCTAATGTCAAGTAATGTATGGATGATAAAATGAAGCAACCCTTGATACTGGTTTTGGGTTGGTTATCTGAGAATTCTGTGTGGTTTTGTGCAACAATTGACAGCATGCTAATGGTGTGTTTGGAAAGGTCTGTATTGTTCCAAGTGACAGCTGAGTTTCTGAAAGTTCCTCAGACCTTTTTTCCTAATATTCCAGTTGTAGAACAACCTGGAAATCATAATTTACTCTGTCATAAAATAATCCAGTGATACTTTGTTCTTGGACAGCTTTAATTATGTGTATAAAACTTCACTAATGACTTCTTGAACAAAACAAAAGGAAGGTGACAATCTGGGAGCCATATAAGTAGAGCATATTTGCATAGTATTTAGTATTAAAACTCCCTGCAACACCTTTAATTCTAACTTTTGGAGCTTGTATGTGCTTGTATAACTGAGGTGGTAGTTCTGAGCACAGTGGGGGTGTGTTCATGCCTTAAATTTTGCAATGCAGAGCATCCCATCTTGTGTTCAGAGGTGATGAAATAAGCTGTCTGCGATATATTAACTGGGAATGTTGTCTCTTTTATAAGCAAAGGCAAAATTGCAGCAACTGAAATTCCATTTTTGCTAGTATTTTGTCCTGTAGTGAAAATTCATGGTTCTCTTTTTCATACTAACAATGGGAATTTTTCAGTCAAAGCTTTTTGTTTAAGGCAGATATGCAGATGGAGGTACCTGAGCTAATGGGAAAATCCCATGTATTACATGTGATCACATTCCTCCCACCCTGGAGCAGACAGCACCTGCAACCAAACTGTACCAGCCATGTCTGGTGTTGAGCTGTACCTGGAATCACCTGCACTTACTGAGAAACTAGAGTACCATGATATGATCCTAACACGTTGGTTTGGGTAGAACTTATCAAGAGTGATACCAGACGGGCTCCATACATTTGTGGTTTGTTTTGCCAGTGCCGGTAGATGCAGTTACAGCATGAATGCATGGGTAGTTAAGCAGGAATAGGATGAAGTCGTATTTGCATACTTGACAGAGACTGGCTCTGCACAGCCTTGTAACTGTGTCCATGTGACATTCCTAGTGCTCTTCATTTGTGGTGTAGAGTGGAAGGATTCAAATCGAATTACATGCAGTCAGCTTAGGTAAATCAGTATTTACTGGACTGTGAAAAGCATCTGGATTTCTTATGAGCAGCGCCCCCCTCTGAGGGGACCCCTGAAGCAGTAACGGCATGAATTATAGACACATCACTTAATAGGGAATCTTAACATATATCGTGTGTGGGTCAGCAGGAGCTGTCAGTGTATTCATCTGGGAAAGAAAAGATGTTAAGGCAGGCAGTAATAAACCTCTCTAGGATTTCAGATACTTCTTAAGTGCGACACGTACTGAATCAACATGTAATGCACAAGTCAGACCACACCTTTTCACTGTAAAGCCTGCTGTGATGGCAGTCTAAGCACAGAAAGGTAGATGGGGAGTTCAGGTGGAGTGAGTACATGAAAATATATTACAGTCATTTTAATGACAGGGATTAATATGTTGCACTACCTTCTCTGTCCTATTTCTCACTAAGCCAATGTCCACCTGTACCAAATAAGAAATAGTTTGGTTCAGTGCACATTGTTGGAAGTAACATGAAAGAATTGGATCTGTAGCTTGCTGGCATCTGAAGGAAAGCCTGCTATTTTGAGTTCTGCAAAACAGAGGTCTTTTTGGCTCATGAGATCAAGTTTTTGTGAAGCGTATGCATGACAACATTCATGTTTTCTTCTAGAAAAAACCCTACACTACCAGGGTAATAACGGTAGGGGCATTGCTTTTCATTTTGCAATCGTTGATTTTTTTTTTTTTTTAGATGGGAAGTTCTTAAACTGTCATAGCTTGTTCCAGCCAGTTCTTGCTAGTAACAATTTGTTCTGTTCTCTTATTTTGCTGTAACCCAAACTATTTGGAAACAATGAAAGACATCCTGTCCTTCAGGATCCGTTGGAACAGTGAACTTAAACCTCTCTGCCCAAACTAAAACAAGGATCATCACGTGCTTATTCAAAGCTGCTTAAAATAGTGTCTGGATTTTTTTTTAGCATGATTCTCACATTTTAAAAAAACAAAGAAAACACTTCCTCCTGTCCTTCATACTACATCTGCAGATATAAACTTGAATTTCTTAACTGAGGTTTTTGACAGTCATTTATCAGCAATGTGTGTTGCTGTTCACCAAGGTTTTCTTAGCATAGTAATCTCTTCTGTAGTAGTAGTCTTAGTATGTCACCACCATCTATGAAAATTCTGTGCTGCAGTGTTAAATATGGGAACTGTAATGTACTTGACTAAACCTGCTGAATGAATAGACTCAGCATATCACTAAGTCAAAATCCAGCTAACTGCATTTGGCAGAATTGAGTCATCTAGGAAGAAGTGTGTGCTTCTGCTTTTTCGGTTAATATTTTTCTCCTGGTCCTTTTTGGAACCTGTCAGCTGTAGCTGAGCTTCCTGGTGCTGCAGATGCACTACATGGCCTTGCTGGACAAGTCATTGTGGCTCAGCCAATATATACATTGAACCACAAACCTCTGGAATAAAGTTTCTTAGCTAAGGCTTTAGCAGCATAGTATGCAATGCAGATTAGGATGCACGAGCCAAGCTGTAATTTTTTGCCAGCAGACTGTTTCTCTCCCAGAAAACTGCCTCTTGTGACACCCACAGGCATAGAGAGTTGTGAATATAAGGAATCCCATAAAGGATGAAATACTTTAAACTAGAAAGTAACCCTCTCTCAAGTTAGAGAGTCAAACTTAGATGTGGATGGAGAAACATGGCATGAATGTGCATGGACTGGGATTGCATGATCAGGAATAGGGATGCCTTTCAGTGACATTGGGTATTGCTGTGATTTTTGCAGATTCGCTCGCTCTCCTCCCTCTTTTAATCCCAGCTGTGTCCACCCTCTTCCTTCACCCCTTTAAATTTGTAATGAGCTGTTCTGTATTAAACTGCTGGAAAACATTGTTTTGTTTGGTTTAGTTCTTTGTTGGATTAGTGACCTGAACTGGCTCAAAAATAGATTTAAACTGTAGGATCAGACTGGCTGTAGTGCTGGCGTAAAGGAGGGACAAGGGAAGTGGCACTGCACTGCCTCTGGTTTAAGCCACTGTGGAAACCACAGCCTGTATCGCCAAAGGAACACGAGCATACCTAGCTCATTAACCCCTTGACTGCTCTTTGACTTAAGCTTGTATGATGACACCTGGTCCACCCAAGTGGTATTTGCCTCTGTCAGCAGGTGACACAAGCCTTCATTTGAGCAGCATCGAGACTACTTGTCTGAAGAAGGTTTCTTTGGGGACAGTGCTATTACAGCAGCTCCTTCTCAGTTCCTTGCCACCTATACCCATTCTGTAGCACAGCAATTTCCAGGGCTACCCGGGGAACCTGATTTGGAAACAAATCTATATTTTAAAAAAAAGTAAAATTTTTAAATCCATCCAAAGAAGTAGTATTAACTCACTTTGGACACTGTTTTAACCTTGATCCTGTTCCTGCAATAGTAGTACCAGCACAGGGGGCAGTGCAGGACAGGATCCATAAGCAGGGTCTGGTTAAGCTAGTGGTGCATCTGGTCAGAGCGGCTGTCAAAATCCTCCCTTGTGAGCAAATGTTTTCCTCAGGAAGAGGGGGATATCAGTGTTTTGAATCCGTTGAAGCCTTCTTTCTGGCATGTAACTGGAGGCTGGTATGGCTGGCCAGGCAGGGAATGTCTCTGGGCAGTGCAGCTTTAGGGTGCTTAGGAGGGTAGAACTTCCAACAGGGTGTCAAGAAAGCCAGCAGCAAGTTGGCTGCCAAAGAGGGACAGCTGCCTTGGATTGGGATTTAGCACAAGTGGGGTGGGGAGCATTTCTTTTTTTCCTGTTTCCATCAGTATCCCTTAAACCACTTGTAGTTATGCATACCTTTAGGGTGTCATGAAGAAATTTATTTGCATTGAATGTTAGCCTAGTTTCAATTAACAGTATTTGGAAACACCTGGCTGACAGAAAAAAAAAACATTTCTGACCTAAGGATGTGGTGAACCTTGAAAATAGGCTGCCAGGTTAGCTTAGTTACTCACTGCCCCCGAAGGTTAACACAATGTCCTGTAAGGAGGTTGGAGGCTTGCTGTTGAGGCTGTTAGTGACGGGACAGGAGAAGAAGTAGGATTTTCAATGGTGACTGGGAAGGCTACCTGACTTGCTGCTAGGTAGTGGCAAATTGCCTGAACCTTCAGTCTCCAGTGGATTTCTCAGCCTGTAGCTCCTAGACGCTCTGCCTCGTGGGTGTATGTGCACATGATAATATTGATTGAATACTTAAAAGATCAGGTGATGCTATTCCCTGTTCTTAACTGCAGAAGTTGCCATTACTAACCTCTCTTACCTAGTAACAAACCAAGGAAATAAAGTATAAAATAGTGTAAAAACAGCTTTCTAAGTACAAAAATAGTTATATCCCTTGGGTGACAACAGTACTCACCAGGAAGTAATTTTTTAAACTTTTTTTTCCTATTTTGAGTACTTTGCACTAACACCTACATCTTTCTCACTCCAACGCAGAAAACAGACCTGAGCTCTTGTGTAGGTAGTTCAGTGGGGGACAGCTGCCTAAAGTGCAGTAATGATCCATAAATTCAAAGGCAAGAGTTACAGAGATGGGCTGCAAAATAAGTCTGGAATGGGAAAAAAAAACAAACGCAGATGATGTGAATGTCCTGGCATCCAGGTGAGGGTTTTGATGGTCTGAAAAGGGGCCTAAGGTTGTCCAGAAAAGGAAGATAACAAAAAGAATTAGTGATAAGTAGCATTACAAGTGGCCTATATTAGAGGAATGAAATAGCAAAAGCCTTTCCCCTTCAATTTTAAGAGGGGGATTTAATTATTAATAGAGAAAAAGAAGATTAAATAGAGTTTTCTGCTCTCTAGACCTATCAACAGATGAAAGCACATGCAATGCATTCAGCAGGAGGATGACTGAGAAACTGTTGATGACTACTTTCCATATTTGGAAACGGATGTTACAACTCTTTTTCAAATGCAGATAATAACAAGTATGTGATGCTTTCCCACTTCGGTAGCAAATCAGAACACATACCATCACAATATGTGAACACTTGTGCTTTGTAACAACAATTGGTATGTGTGCAATCCAGCTCTGCCAGGAGCGCGGAGGTTTCAGAAGGGCTGGCAAGGCCAAGGTGTGCTGCAAGAACAGAGCGGCAAAGAGGCTTGTTTCAGCTGCCAGGCTCAGGTTCGTGACATTTGGCTCTTGGGGTGAACAGGCAAGGGCATGGGTCCACAGTGTCTTTACCAGACCCAAGTTGGAAACAGCTGCCTTCAGTCGCTGTGTGGTCCCACACCATCCCTTGTGCCAGCAATGGCATTCATGAGTGCAAGCTGACCCAGTCCAGGGAGTCCACCTGGGCCAGTACTTGTCCCTTCCTCACTGCAGGATTAACTTTTGTCAGGCTCAGCTCACTGGCTCACTCACCCCGCAGTTGCATGAACTCCAGTGTTTGTAAAAGGGAGAGGACAAGATCATGTGGAAACAGGGAGGGTAGGACCCAGTTTAGGCACACCCCTTGACTTGGCTGTGCCACATATTGTGGATTGCCATGGTTATACAGTGTTGGTATTTTAAACCATTTTGAGATGGATAGTTACCTAGGAGAATAAACAATTGCTCTTTGCCAACTTCAGGCACTTTGCTAGCTCATAGCACTCTCCAGCAGTAAAAGTACAGTCCTCCAGATGGTACTTCAGTCCACTCTGCATGTACTACTTATTCATAGCCACACAAAGAGTGTGAAACTCTTTATGCATGTGGGTTTTGTGTAAAACGGATGGTTGAAAGGGCTGGATTTAAGACCTGTGGTTACTGCCTGGAATCTTTCCTGCTGGTGAAGGAAGGGCTGGTGCTCCCTCCCTCTGGTCTGGCCAAATACTGTGGAGCTGCTGAGACAGGTTAGCTGTGCTGGCTAATAAGTTGTTGCCTGCTCTCCCGTAATGTTCTGCCTCTGATTTGCCTTCAGAAGGTCTGTTGAAAATGAATAAAATAAAGCAAAAATCTTAAAGTATGGCTATGGTGAAAGATACACATTTAACACGACTTGAGTATTTGCAATAACTGTGAACAAAATCTGGGTACTTGGTTTTGCACATCTGTTGATTTTTAGAGCTGGGAAAGAAAGCAGCGTTGTCCTCAGTACGCAGGGTCATGTGAGGATAGCTGAACTAGAGAGGAAGCCAGCCCAAGCACCACCGTGCTCCTGTGAGCCTTGTGCCACAGGCTCTGGGAGAGGATTCAGAACAGCGATTAAACATACTTGCAGCAGAACTTGCTTGGCTTGTTTCAGCTGGATCCGTGCTTTAAAATTTTGATTAAAAATATCCTCGTGTGGTGCAGTCTCGCCAATGATAGCAACAGGGTGGATGCGTCCCCACCAGGCTTTGAGCTGCCTGCTAACCCTCTGCAGGCGGTTCCGCAAGGCCGGGTGGTTAGCTAGCTCCCACACAGCCACACTTACACCTCGGGTGCCTGCTACTGCTAACAGTGGGAAATGTTGCCACCCTTCTTTCTTTTCTTAATGATAAGTTATGATTACTTCAACCATTTTTAACATGTTTAGAGAGCGGTCTCTTGCAAA